TTGTTAACAAATTCTCTGTTTGAATATGTGTTTACACATTTCATGGTCAGTGTTGCGATCGCGATTCGTAATTTCAGGGTGCCTGTTAAGATCCCAGCTGCGGGCGATTTGGCAACAGACCACCTAGCGTTATTGTCACACAAAAATATTACCGAGAGCTAACCGTTAAGTATTGGCAAACTACTGTAAACGTAAAATTGTCAAAAGATGATGAGGCTGGTTATGCAACATCGTGCAAAAAACACGCAACAAACCATTTATTTTACACGTTTTTTTTTTTTTTTAAATATTATTACATTGGCTTGCATTAAGTTGATTATAAATAGCATTATTATTTCGCACCTAAATACTATTTAGGCTCCTTAAGCCCCCAACACCTATTCTTCTTCTTCTACTTCTTCTTCTCTTCCATCTTGTACCTCATCGAAGAGTCGGGGGGATATGTTAATGTTCGTTGAAGAGCTCTGTCAAGAGCACTATTAAGACTGATGTTCATTTCTGTAAGGCTGTTCTTAATGCCATCACTCCATCTTTTCCAAGGTCTTTTACTCGCTCTATACCCGTTGTAACGTTTTAGTGTGGCTCGCTGTGGCGGATAGTACAAGGGCATTCTTGTTAGGTGTCTAAACCACTTTGTTCTTTGATGACCTGTAAGACTGGCTTTATTCCTAGCATTCGTCTGATTTCAGGATTTCGTTTTCTGTCTTTCCTTGAAACTCCTGCAGCTCTTCTAAGGCATTTCATCTCTCTTTTCACAATTTTACGTTCATTGAAGGATGTAAGTGTCCACGTTTGGCATTGATAGCATAGTGTTGGCCAAAAAATAGTTCTGATAAGATTCACTTTAGTACTCCGAGGTATCTGCTTGTGTGTCAACACCTATTCAAAATGTATAAAGGTGAAAAGTAAGGTAAAGGTGAGAAGATCGACTTTATTTCACCAGGTTTTATCCCAAATGACTCAGTCTCCCAAAAAATTGCACTCGTCAACTGAAAGGCGCCGACGTCAAACGAACATTTCATCTCTCTTTTCACAATTTTACGTTCATTGAAGGATGTAAATGTCCACGTTTGGCATTGATAGCATAGTGTTGGCCATAAAATAGTTCTGATAAGATTCACTTTAGTACTCCGAGGTATCTGCTTGTGTGTCAACACCTATTCAAAATGTATAAAGGTGAAAAGTAAGGTAAAGGTGAGAAGATCGACTTTATTTCACCAGGTTTTATCCCAAATGACTCAGTCTCCCAAAAAAATTGCACTCGTCAACTGAAAGGCGCCGACGTCAAACGAACCCACGACTTTCAGAGCGTGGGGGGAAATGATTCGGCCTTTTACCTAGAGAACCCCTGAAACTGTGTAAGAGAAGAAAACCTAACAACCTTCAGGGCGACAGGTAAAGGTCTGTCTTAACAACCGCCACACACACAAAAAAAGCATTCAATCTTATACAGACCGCTACTGTGCAAGGGTTTTTAATTTGACGACTTTCTGGTATTAGCTGTTTAACGTATCCAGGGGCTGCGTGGTTTCGGGGCATGGAATCCGCCTCGAGTGCTGGAGGTTCTGGGTTCATTCTCCAGTAAGGGCTAGGATTTTATCATGTGGACTTGGATTTCTAGTAATCCCACCCCCCCCCCCCCCCCACGTCTCTTGGTAGTTAGATTGGACGCCCGTGTGTATACATGCCAAAAAAATCCCTTGGCAGTTTGAAATCGAAAATAGTAGCCTAAACAGCGCTGCATGGGCAAAATTTGGAGTTAAAATCTACTCAAAGTATTTCAGAAACCCGCCGGTGCTACAGGGTATGTGCACTGTGCTGAGCCTCTTCGGGCTCAGACTTGAGTTACAAGAAGAACGGAGCACTTATACCTTACTACTTGTGGGCCATGATGTTGGTCTGTTGTTCGAACTTCAAACTTCAAACCTAAATTTTCCAGCTGCAAAGTACAAAAACAAGACACTGACGAAAATTCAAACTAATTGTAATTTAATTATAAACTAGTACAAGATATAAAGTAGCGCATAATAGAGTAGTGTCAATTTTGGTTCATTTTAAAACAAAACAGTTCCTGAACATTTCAAACGTTCGTCAAGATGTCTAAACAGAACTTCAGGACAATCAGAGGAGTATCAGTGTGGCACCCGTATGGTGTGGTGTATCGTATGATGGTTGTGATGGCCTTTCTGTCAGCCATGATGTGTATAACCTGGGCTCAGTTGAGGTCTGCAGGTAGGTAACTCGTGTTCTTAGCTATAGTAGCACGGTCTGGTTGTATGTTTTATGAGGCCCAGTGGGTGGCTGGTTGATTGTAAGTTGGTTGGTAGTTAGTTTGTTGGTTGTAAGCTGGGGGGACTTCGTGGTCTTGAGGCATGGTATCCGTCTCGAGTGCTAGATGTTCCGGGTTCAATCCCCGGTGAGTGCTGGGATTTTTTCACGTAGACTTGGACTTCTATTAATTCCACTGGTCTCTGTGTAGTGAGATCAGACGCCCGTGAACACTGCTGTACAAAATCCTTTGGCAGTTGAAAATCGAAGAGAGTAGCCTGAAGCCCCTGGGCAAAATCTTATGTTAAAAATCTACCCAAAGTATTTTCAGGATCCTCGCCGGGGCTACAGAGCCTGTGCACGGTGCTGAGCTTTTTCCGGACTCGGACTTGAGTTAGAAGAACTGAGCACTTATGGGTTACAACCCGTGTGTTATGACGTTGATCCGTTGTTTAAACTTCAAACTTCACTGGTTGTAAGTTTGTTGGTTGTCAGTTGGTTGGTCGTAAATTGGTTGGTAAGATTAATACCAGGGTGTACACACTGTCGTAGGTGCCTTTTATTTATTTGTCTTTTCAAAACTTGCTTGTATTGAAACCTTTGATGCTATATTTGCAAAATCATTTGTTTCTCCTTTGTATGTCTTTGCTGGTTTTACTAAGCAGAACAGTATCATCAGCAAAGTCAAGACCCTCCAACTGTGTGTTCTCCACCCAGTCAGTGCCGGTGTTTCCATTACATTTGTTCATCACCCAGTCAATGGTGGGGGCAAATACCGGAGGAGATCAGATGCAACATCACATGTTTCACTCCAGTACCATATGGTGGTTTAAGTGATTTAAAGTTGATACTGGTATTTCAGGATCCTCGCCGGTGATACAGAGCCTGTGCACTGTGCTGAGCTTCTTCGGACTCAGACTTGAGTAAGAAGAAGAATGGAACACTTATGGGTTACTACCTGTGTGCCATGATATTGATCTGTTGTTAAAACCTAAACTTCATACTGGGGTGAAAAAAGATGCATTTGATCTCCTATGTTATTTGGCATAATCATCGTGGTGTAAAGAAAAACAGATGATTTAGCAAAATATCATCAAGGGTTGGACAACAAGTAAGTTACAACAAGTCAAATATACGGTCACCATCACCGACCGGTCAAGCAGCTGTTTGTAACACTAGAGTCAACAGTAATTAAACAGTAACGGATTAGTTTACTTATGTAAGTAGTAATTTTGATAGGGAAAGAAATACAAAGAAAGAAATAACAACACGCAATGGCAAGATATCAGTTGCTTTTAACAGCTGAAACAAATTATGGAACTCTACAAATTGTATAGTTTTGAAAACGAAGTTACGTATTTTTAATTCTAACGGTACTTAAATTTTTGCAATTGCAAGTGCACATTGGAGAACTATTAAAGACATGAAACACAAGTTTAAAAAAAAAAAAATTCTTTTACAAACAAACGTCTGAGGGAAATTATGAGTGTGAATATAAAATAGATACATTCAAAGAGAATGAAGAAAAAAGGTAAATGTCTGAGAAACCAATTGGTATCGACAGTTATGAGACATAGAATCCCTACATTGGACACATCATGGGAAGAAGAAATTGGAGCATCACCAAACAGACATTCAAATGGTTGAATACAGGGATTAAGAGGGGAGGATGCTCAATATAAAACCCCCAAGACGAAGGTTGACGAGGAAGACTAAAGCTGCTGGAATTGATTCCATACATGCTATTGAACTGATTGTACAGGGTAGAATAGAATGAAGGAATAGACTGCGACTCCTATGTGCCATTTAAAAGCACAACAGGACAATGAAATATAACGGTAAGGGTAATAGTAATAGTAAAAGAAAAACTAGAGCATTCACACAGAAGAAGAAGAAGAAGAAGAAGAAGAAGAAGAAGAAGAAGAAGAAGAAGAAGAAGAAGAAGAAGAAGAAGAAGAAGAAGAAGAAGAAGAAGAAGAAGAAGAAGAGAAGAAGAAGAAGAAGAAGAAGAAGAAGAAGAAGAAGAAGAAGAAGAAGAAGAAGAAGAGAAAAAAGAAGAAGAAGAAGAAGAAAAAAAAGAAGAAGAAAAAGAAAAAGAAGAAGAAGAAGAAGAAGAAAAAGAAGAAGAAGAAGAAGAAGAAGAAGAAGAAGAAGAAGAAGAAGAAGAAGAGGAAGAAGAAGAAGAAGAAGAAGAAGAAGAAGAAGAAGAAGAAGAAGAAGAAGAGACGAAGAAGAGAAGAAGAAAGAAGAAGAAGAAGAAGAAGACTGAAGAAGAAGAAGAAGAAGAAGAAGAAGAAGAAGAAAAAAGAGGAGGAGAAAAAAACTAAGAAATAGAAGAAGAAGATAAAGAAGAAGAAGGAGGAGAAAAAAAAGGAAGAAATAGAAGAAGAAGAAGAAGAAGAAGAAGAAGAAGAAGAAGAAGAAGAAGAAGAAGAAGAAGAAGAAGAAGAAGAAGAAGAAGAAGAAGAAGAAGAAGAAGAAGAAGAAGAAGAAGAAGAAGAAGAAGAAGAAGAAGAAGAAGAAGAAAAAGAAAAAGAAGAAGAAGAAGAAGAAAAAGAAAAAGAAGAAGAAGAATGGAAAGGGGAAGGAGAAGAGGAAAGGGAAACTGAAGAACGAGAAGAAAAACAAGTAGAAGTAGAAGTAGCAGAAGAAGTGGAAGTAGAAGTTAAAGCCGAAGATGAATAAGAAGAAGAAATTAGAAGCTGGTGATTATGCAGAAACTGCGGAAACAGGGAAATTATTGTCTAATAATTTGTCAATTCTCAGAACAAGAAGAATGGTTCAGTGAGGGCAGAGACGAACTTATAAGAGCTATCAGAGTAACCAGACGACAAAACAAGAATCTGGCGCGAAACATCATCTTGTTTGTGGGAGACGGCATGGGAATATCTACCGTTACAGCATCAAGGTTAGTGAACAGTGGTGTCTTTTTAGGACGCACAGTATCCTACATATTGAAACCTAATTCTTCTTCTTCTTCATCTTTTTCTTACTCTTCTTCTTCTTCTTCTTCTTCTTCTTCTTCTTCTTCTTCTTCTTCTTCTTTTTCTTCTTCTTCTTCTTCTTCTTCTTCTTCTTCTTCTTCTTCTTCTTCTTCTTTTTCTTGTTCTTCTTCTTCTTTTGCCTCTCTAATCTTCAATAGAGCATAGGCCCTCAACCAACACACGCCAATTTGTTCTATCCTTCGCTATAGCATGCAGCTCTATCCATGTCCTTATCTTTTAAATTTCACTTTATAGCTCACTACTCCATGTTTTTCTGGTCTTCCTTTATTTCTATGCCTCTTTAGAAAAAATTAATTTATACATTTGCAGGATTGCAAGCGCATTGCAACCTGGTGGCTCAATCACCTAGTACTTTAACACCTTAAAAAAAATGTCAAGGTTGCCTAAGCACCCAACAAGTAGCAAGGCGCGATCAATTTATTTGTAAGCGGTGCAGAAGAAAATAAACGTTAGTAAGTAACGATTGCAATGGGAAGGGTACAGCTGGTATTTTCCTTCTCGAAGCTTCGCTGCTAATAGTAAGCATGGGCTGCTAACATTTCTTTATTAGTAACTGGTAGCTCTTACACTATATTCATCCATTCTCGATCTGACGGCAGCCTCTACAATGAGCGTAGACTGATAGCCGAGACTTGAAAAAGATCTGCTCCTCTCTTATGATACTGCAATTAATATCCAATCAGGGGAAGAACTGCAGTATATACTCCCTGCACTTGTTGATTTATGTTGTGAATGTCGACTATTAATCAGAAGAGAAAAAATCAACAAAGATTATATTGCATGGAATTAATGATATTCCAGCAGTTCGCATTGACGGCGAAGAGCTGGAGACCGTTGACCATTCATCATATAAGGGATCCAGGAATGAAACAAAAAGACTATCACTGGAGCAAAGAATTAATATCAGGATGGGCACGGCAACAACAGCTATGAGGATTTACAAAAAAGTCTTTGCAAGAACAGAGAGCTCACGACATAAACAAAAATTAGTGTATGACATGCTTCTTTTCTCAGCTATCTTCTTTACGATAGTGAAACTTTTCAGCGTTAATCGTTCCAGGAAAAAAAATCTGCTAAATAGTTTTCAAATGCAACGCTCCACATTAAGTGGCAAGACAAGACCATAAACATCCGAAGCGTTGGAAATAGCAAGCATCTCATCAGTTTCCTCAGCGCTCAGTGTTTAGAGGTTCAGACTGCTAGGTCACACTTGGAGGATTTAGTAAGGTAGAGTCCTAAAGTACATCCTATATTTCAGTGGTTCTCAGCCGTCCTAAAGCCGCGACCCTTTAATACAGTTCCTCATGTTGTGGCGACCCCCAGAAATACAATTATTTTCGTCGCTACTTCATAACTTGAATGAATATGGTTTTGCGATGATCTCTGGTGACCCCTGTGAAAGGGTCGTTCGACCCACACACACACACACAAAAAATAGTAGTGACCCATAGGTTGAGAAACTGATGCTCTATAGTGAATTATAGAAGAGTAGATGATGAGAAGGGCCTCAACTTTGATTCACAAGTGTATATACGCGAAACATGAATGATCCATGTATAAAGATAGATTCGTGGGAACAAGATGCCATAAACAGTACTGTATAGAGGCGGGAAATCAAAAGGGGAATGTAAGTGAAATATAAATGTTTTATAGATAAGAGCTGCGCATCTGAGAACATCACAGAAAAAATCCTATGAACAAACTGTGGAAGACATTTCTTGACGCGAACGGGTCTTGCAATTCACAGTCGTCATCCCCAGAGTTTGTGATTCCTGTGCCTCAGTATAACACAATATAAAACTATTGTCTGAGCAATGGAAATATGACCGTGTAGAAGCTTTAGAGTACACACTTTACTAGACAATTTTTAGATGTACACATTTATTAGAGGAGGGGCTGGTCGAGTGCATAGAGGCTGCACTCTCATGCCTGAGATCCGGGTTTCTATCACGGATAAGGTAATGGCAGCTTTCTTATCTTTCGTGAAAGGGGATAGAGAGAGAGAGAAAGAGAGAGAGAGAGAGAGAGAGAGAGAGAGAGAGAGAGAGAGAGAGAGAGAGAGAGAGAGAGAGAGAGAGAGAGAGAGTTCTAAATCGTCAGGATCAATACTCTATTGGCCTACACCAATGTAAACAGTTGTAGATACAGACGGTAAAAAGGAAAGTTGTTGGCATTAGTCTTCCCGTGTTTTGTGAGTCTTCAATGTAAACCCCAATAGCAAACGTTTCACGATGTACACGTGGCTTTGCTGGCGTGTCGCTCATTGTTTTGTGTGCAAGTTTGAATGTATGCATGATGAGTGTATGTGTGGGTGGGTTGATAGATGGAACAGTGCGTGGAATACGGGAACGATAGATTGATAGAGGAGATTTAGCTCGGTATGTATATATGTATATATTGGGTAAGTAGGTGTTGTGTATATATATATATATATATATATATATATATATATATATATATATATATATATATATATATATATATATTTATATGTGTGTGTGTGTTTCTACACTTGTTTAAGCGACGTAAGTGTATGTTTATGTATGTGTGTTGTTTGATGAATGACTGATGTATTTATTAAAGGGTATTTTCAAGTACGTGCCAAAACTGCTATCCTCACTGCCTGTGCACAAAAAGTAAAAAAGTAAAGGTCTCTCTTCCACGCCTTTAGGAGTAAAGTGCATGTAGGGCTAGACTTATATTTTTATAGATCTATCGGCACAAGATAGGTGATGGGTCAGTATCACGCCATTACTACCTGTCTTTACCATTTTTGTAGTGTAGAAACGGGGAGTCTTTGAGCCTAAATAAATTTAGGCCGCGTAGCTAGTTCTGTCGCCATGGTACGTGCAGCTTGGGATTGTACTGTTGCATCTGAAGAAAATAACCGAGGATTCGAACCTCGGTCTCCCGTATTAGAGACCAAGGTGCTTAATCGTTCAGTGCATACGTACACATTTATGTACACATATATATGTGCATATGTGTTCATGTGTATGTGGGAGTAAAGTTAGTCGCGATCGAATCCCAGGAATTGATGGCTGTTGTGGGTTTTTCTAGGCAAATTTACGTTCAGTAGCTTGCCACTGCCCTCTTGACTGTTCACTCTTGATAACGTTGTTGAAACCAACGCAAGACTGTCTGTTGCCTAATCGCTTGCAGCCGGGATCGAACCCGGTACCCTGGCCTTACGTAACGCGTTCGCAACTCTTAAGCCACTCATATGTGTGAGTGCGAAGGCACAAAACACCACAGTGCAACATTCGAACAATCTTCTTTGTTGAGAGTTGAATTAAGAATCGATATCACAGCACTCGGGATACGCCCGTAAGCGGCCGTCCCCATCTTCAGCAGCAAGCTAAGAGTTCCGATTCCGATGGCACCTGTAAATGTCTGATTGTATATACGGCCTTTTCATTGAGTGTCGAGCGTCGGCCAGATCCGCTGGGACTCCTCGCAGCGCCTTTTCTCTCATGCCGCAATGATCAATCTATCTGTGCCTCCTATGTTTAGATGAACACATACACAAGTGCAGTAATTGTTCATGTCCTCACAGAATTCGAGCTGGACAACTGAGAGGAGAAGACGGTGAAGACAACCTGTTGTACTTTGAACGGTTTCCTCACGTGGGTCTAGTGAAGGTAGGTCTAAGTCTTAGTCGAAGGGGGTATCGGTGACGAAGTGGTCAGTCAAGCTGTTTGCCTCGTGCTCTGAAGCTCGTGGGTTCGTTTCATGGCTGCGGTCTTCAGTTCATGAGTGCAATTTTTACAGAGATTTCTAGGGATCGTGGCCGGAGCTACGGAGTTCGTTCTCTGTGCTGCGCTCTCGGCAGGCAGCTAGCTGTCCTGCAGAGAGAGGCAGAGCCAAATGGGATAAAACCCTGTGCAATGAAGTTGTTCCTCTCGACTTTAATTTTAGTCATAGTCCAGGTTTCAGCTTCAGTGCAGTTGGGTCATCCCATAGTTGCCCCGTTCCTGTGCCAGTGAAAAACTAATAAAACGCCAATCACTGTTACACATTCACACACTCACACACACACACACACTCACACACACACACACACACATACAAATCGGTAAACTAGTAACTATCATCTTTATCATTTTCGCTGTCTTTGAAGCAGGGACAGTAAAAGTAGCAGTAGCTGTCGTAATGATCGGTGGAATAGTCGTAATAGTAGTAGTAATAGCGGTGACAATACTGGCAGATGTAGTAGTTGTAGAAGTATTGAAAGTCGTAATATCTGCAGCAGCAGTAGTAGCGTTAGTATACTTATTAAACGTAGTCATGTTTGCAGCAAGAGCATTAGTAGTTGCAATATTTATATAATGATAGTAGCTATCGTCGTTGTAGTTATTGTAGTGTTGTGGTGCTGTAGTGCTGTAAGCTGTAATGCTAAAACCTTTAACAATAAAGCATGTTCCTCCCACTCCTTTCCACGCCGAATTAAGTGTTTACTAAAATCATAGTGTTAAATCCAGTTTTACGTTTAAACATAAAACAACTTTATTCACCTCTTTCTAACCTTATTGTTATTCTTTTGAGCCTGTTGCCCTTAGAAAGCCGGGTTTTTTTCCCGTTTTTAAAGGGTTCAAGTGGCTTGGTTTCTTTGTGCAGTGGCCAACACGCCTGTATATACTTGCTACTGGTTGCAAATGCATAGTGTGTAGATGTGATGAATATGATTATATTAAACACATATTTTAATATATATTAATTGGGTGAAAAGAAGTTAATGTGTTTGTCATTGATCTCTGTACTTGTATCAATAAAAGCCCAGGTTTCCTGGCCAATGTGCAGTCCTGGGAAGTAAAGGTGGCCGGCGTGATGCTGACCTCAACATCCACCAAGTGGTGATTGGTCCATACGTCTAAAGGCGTTTAAAAAGGAACTTTACTTTTTCATGTATTTTTCTCGGTCAAAGGAAAGAAAATCAGCTATTATTTTTTTCTCAGGATGTATTTAGTGATAACTTCCCTTCCAATTCAAAAGTAAGTATAGTAAAAGTAAAAAGTAAAGTTCCCTTTTCACGCTTTTAGGATCATCGGGCATATATTTTTCAGACCAATCGGTACTGGGTGGGTAATGTGGTCAGCATTATGCTGGCCGTCTTTACTTCCCCAGGATGTCCATCCTGGTACACATTTCAGTCTGGGTCGACTTGCGAGGCCCCATACCACGATGATAATCCACGCAGCCAGCAGTGGGTTTCGATCGTAGACGTTGGAATTACGTGTTGGACTCGCAACGCGTAAGCCACAGACGCCGCTCAAAAAAAAAAAAAGTACTTTTGTACTTTTGCAGCGCGGGAAAACAAGACTCTCAATTGAAAAACCTATTATTTTCGCTATTAAACAACAGCTACCAGACTTGCCTGTGTGCTCGATTGTCATGACTTTCAACCTACATGATTTTTTTGAAAAAAAACCGACCAAGACTCCAAATTTCTTCTGGTAAAATGTACTTAACTTCACAAAATTGTGTACTGCGTCCATGGAATACTTCATGGTGTAGAGGTTAGACGCTCGCCTGCGGATCGGAAGGTCGTGGGCTCGACTTCTGTTGGAGCCGGACTTCAAAAAATAAAAAAAATTTTTTAATCCCAGGTCGACCTAGCCTTGAATTAGTACCAGCTAAAGTCTGAAGAAGTAAAAGCGGCCGACGTGATGTTGACCAACATCATCCACGGATTAGTTTATAAAAGTATAAGTCCATCACTATATGCTCAGTAAGCCTGATGATTTGAAAGAGTCTCCTTTATTTTTAGCGTGTGCATAATGAAGTTTGTCTACAGTGCATTTATTTGGGAAATGTTAGGCAGTCGGACTGTAATTACTTTCTCGGTGAGACTCTCGTACTACTGTATAAGAAAATCATAGCGGAAATTGAATCCCAGTACTCGAGAATCATTAAACTGTCAACGACTTTTACTAATCAATAAGCTACTAATTGCATCATGTAGGGCTTGCTGTCGATTGCCACATTCCGTTCTTCTATATCTTTTTTTTTTTTACTTTGCTCTGCTACTGGAATGCATCGTGGCGTCAGAGCAGGAAAAGATCTCTGGAACGGACACTTTTGTTCGCTTCGTATATAATATATTTTAGTGTCTATTATAATTTTGCGGTCCAATTCTGCATGGTCGACCTCTAGGTCTGTTACCCTTGTATCTGAACAAAATTGTTTTCTGTGGTGCCCTGTCTGATGCCAATCGTGTTACTTGGCTAAATAATTTGACTTGTTGTCTACCTATAAAGTTCAGTATTGGTTCTGTGCCGACTCTCCTCCTGATATCATTCCAAAGTCGGTCTTTCCTTGTTACACCTAGTATATTAAATAAACATTTCATTTTCTGGTGTGACTAGTTTCATTTTGTCTTCTGATGACGGTGTCCATGTTTGGCATTGATAGCATAGCGTTGGTTAGAGTATTGTCAACAAAGTTTAATATATAGCCTCTAATAGATGTCTCAGAGTCAATGCTTCAGAACTTTCTTCGTGTTCAAACTGCACGCTTTTATCAGCGAGTGTTATACTATATAAATCATGTCTTTATATAATAAGGGGAAACATGGACATTTGGCAGATTACTTTAAATTATTTGGAAAATACGGAAATGTGGTTTTATAGTCGAAGGATGAGAATATATTGAACAGATAAATAGAGTAAAGAGGATGGTTTGAAAGAAACTGACTCATGAAGAGAACTGATTGCCTACAGTAGAAAGAGACAATCAATATTCTTTGGTCATGTGATGAGGAGAAGTAAAACGGGGTACCTCGTGTAAACAGGAAAGTGGGAGGGGAAGAGGGGCTGAGGGAGACCGAGAGAAAACATGCTGAACAATTTGATATCATGTCATGTAGGATGAGCTTGTCAGAGTTGATAGAAAATACACAAGACAGAAGGTTGTGTATAGACATGACTACCAAAGCCACACGGCGTGGACTTTAAGAAAAAAAGATCTTGGATCAACTTGGCTGATCTGCGTCAAGACAGATGTGCAGGATGGTTATGTACACCTTGAGGTAGCAGCCTGGATGCTATAAACTGATCAATCGATCGACATGTCAATGTCTAAAGTGGTGGCAATTTGAGGTAGAAGCCTGGATGCTATAAACCTATCGATTGACATGTCAGTGTATGAAGTGGTGATAATTTAAGGTAGCAGCCTGGATGCTTTAAACCGATCGATCGACATTTCAATGTCTGAAGTGGTGATAACTTGAGGTAGCATCGTGGATGTTATAAACCAATCGATGAATCGACATGTCAGTGCCTGAACTGGTAATAACTTGAGGTAGCATCTTGGGTGCTATAAACCGATCGATCGATCGACATGTCAATATCTCAGCTGGTGATAACTTTATTCGTCTTTATCCACACAGACGTACAGCGCAGACTCACAGGTCACGGGCTCAGCCGCCGCTGGGACTGCCATTCTGACAGGTGTCAAAATTAACTCAGGTGTCCTGGGTTGTGACAGCAGGGTCAAGAAAGGCAATTGTTCTGCCTTTACCGAAAATACCAAACTGAAAACTATACTGCATGCTTTCATCAACGAAGGTAAGTGCACGGTAATTTGAAGACGAATCTATGGCCCAGAACCTGCTGGCGTTCAAACTGCCCGCCCTCCGCAACACAGTGACTAGTCCTATAAATGTCCCCTTCCTCAGGACTTTCTTGATGTTCAAACTCTGCGCTTTCGTCAACGAAGTCCAATTCCAATTCTAATTTGAGAGACACATATTCCAAACTTGATCCTGTGGCAGCCGCCCGAAGGCCTGCTATATGAAGGAAGGTTCCTTGGCTATTTCATTTGGTGTCCTTTTAGTTGTGGCATAAAGTCACACTGGATATTTCTTTTCTTTGTCTTCCTAAGTCCCATGTGGTATATGGGGGTTCTGGGTCCTGATCTGGTCCGACTCTCCTTAACACCTATCTTTGTGGGTTTATGCTGACTGTTGCTGGTGCTTGGTTAACCCGTGCTGGTCGCTGCGCTGGCGACCCATTGCCACCCGCTATGTGAGGCCGCGGGTAAAAGCTAAACACCAAGCAATGTTCCTTTTCAGGACAACCAAGGCCGTCACAATCTGTTGTTGTGATCAGTCTGTTTTGTTCCCTCACATAGGGTGGATTAGTAGTGGCGTTAAGATATGTTGCAAACACGAGAACAGATTGCTCGAATGTGCCAAGGGATTTGATAGTGAGGTCAGAAGAGTGAGAGTGACAGATAGCTTGAGAGAGATGGGTTTCCGACGAAGGTTCGTTACTTGCTTCTTATAGATGGCTCAATGGTTCAGAAAATTCTTGGCTTTCAAACTGCACGCTTAAATCAAGAAAGTTGATAATTAGCCGCTAAAAGATAACTTAGACTCAATGCTTTAGAATCGTACTGGTGTTCAAACTACACGCTTTCAACAACAAAGGTTACTGGGTAACCTCTTTTAGAAGACTCAATAGCTCAGAACTTTTCTGGTGTTCAAACTACACGCTTTCAACAACAAAGGTTACAGGGTAACGTCCTTTTGAAGACTCAATAGCTCAGAACTTTTCTGGTGTTCACACTACACGCTTTCAACAACAAAGGTTACTGGGTAACGTCCATTAGAAGACTCAATAGCTCAGAACTTTTCTGGTGTTCAAACTACACGCTTTCAACAACAAAGGTTACTGGGTAACCTCCATTAGAAGACTCAATAGCTCAGAACTTTTCTGGTGTTCAAACTACACGCTTTCAACAACAAAGGTTACTGGGTAACCTCCATTACAAGACTCAATAGCTCAGAACTTTTCTGGTGGTCAAACTGTGCACTCTTATTAAAGATATTTAAATTTATAGCCTCTAATAGATGACTGTGAGTCGATGCTTCAGACCTTCCTCAATGTTCCAACATTACTCTTTTATCAGCGAAGGCTAACTGATATCCTCTTGTAGATGACTCAATGAGTAATAACTCTCTGGTATTCAAACTGGCCTCATTCATCAGAGCAAATTAATCGCTAGCCTCTGATAGATGACTCAATGGTTCAGAACTTCATTATGCTTAAACTGCTCGCGTTTATCAACAAAAGTTAGTTGCTTGCCTCTCTCTGTTAACTGTATGGCTCAGCCACTTTCTATTGTTGTATTTTGCACACTCTTTTATCAGTGAATGTAAGTAATTTTTAACTGCACGATTTTATTTACGAGCATTGTTGCTCAGTGGATCAACAGCTGTCTGATGCCGCTCTCTCAGTGCAATAGTTGTGGGACCCCCAGTAGAGCACAGCAGTATGCTTGACCCTTGTCCTGTAAGTCGTCGTAACTTTGAAAATGGACTGATGCAGCTTTTGTAATCGATTTAGGCTGCCAGGTCGACCAAAAGTACTCTAGTTTTAGAAAAGGTTATGGGCCATAAAGGCGACATGTTGTGATTTTCCAACAACCCCTCGTCATCAATACTAGTGGCTCATTAGAGGGGAACATAAGACAAGACAGACCAAGAAAGACCTGGCTACAGCACTTTACGGACTGAACAGATACTGGCAAGCAACCATGAAGTCAATAGCAGCTGACCGTCAACGGTGGAGAAAGCTTATCAGACGGTCAACAGCAAACTGATGACCCAGCGACACGCACTGATATGTAAAGATGATGATAATGGTGTGATATTTTGAAGTTTGGTCTATAAAATATGGCGGTGGCACCATATCTCTATTACGACTCATAAGAGTGTGTCACCATTTGCCACCAAAGCTCTGTGAGCACGGCAATTAACTGGTTTGTGACTGGCTCGGTTACCGCCATGCTAGAGTTGTATAGAATGTCCTTAGTAATATAAGTAGAGGACCCTTTCCAAAAGTGGCAAATCGGGTATAGGATACTAGAGCAGTGTTTGCTAGCCTTCTTAGGTCACGCCCCATGGACTATATGGCAGGCCCCCCCCCCTTCCCCACACCTACCTCCCAGACCAGCTTAGGAATATGGAAAAACCCCAACAACAGCTTGGATCTATGGCAAGACCCCAACAACAGCATGGATCTATGGCAAAACCTCCACAACACTTTCGATCTATGGCAAGATCCCCAGACCATTGTAATTCTATGGCAAGTGATTAAAAAAAATGGAAGACAATAAATTCCCCAACCGGGGTAATAGAATGTATGGAGATACGTTTTGGTCAAAATGTATTTCAAGTGAGAATTAAATGCGTAGGTTATCAAATTAATTATATTTTTAACTGTAGATGTGCAAACGCCTCAAGAAAAAAAAATGTCATTGTCTTTTGTGTTTAATAAAAAGTTTTAAAAATATTTTATTTATAAACAAACCACACCAAAATGTAAGTAAAACAGACTACTTCAGTTACTAATAAAATCCGTTTTTAAAATTGCTTGACGCCCTTCTTGACACATAACTACACTCCTAGGTTGCCCACTCCATAGTTTGGAGACCGTGTCCTAGACTAATACTCCTATAGACCAATCGGCATTCAATCGTTAATGCTGGACATCTTGATAGTGTCGACCCACTTATGAGCCAAGGTCATTTAGGCAAAAATCCGAGTAAATGAGGATTTAAACCTTAGACTTTCGGGCCAGGAGCTGAGCGTCTGACGTCACTGTTCTCCAACCTAGAGGTTGGAATGGGGCCACAGTGCCGGGGGAGGGGGGGGGGAATGGTACGGGTAAATACCCTCCTGTCATATGTTAATCCATCGTATAAACCAAACCACACCATCCTCTCTTAACATAGGACGGTCACGAATCCCACACGGCAAGAGCTGATGACGAAGATTAAATCTTAAAAATGTGCCCATGTTTATCTGCCACAGGTCTGTCTACCGGGATAGTAACCAACTCCCGCATCACCCACGCCACCCCGGCCTCAGCCTACGCCCAGACGCCTCACCGAGGCTGGGAGGGTGACGTGGACCTTCCCCATGGCGACACAGACTGCGCCCACGTTGACGACATCGCCAAGCAGCTCATTCTGAACAACGCAGACATCAAGGTCAGTTGCCATCCTCTTCTGCTCTCGTGCATGCAGTATGGATTGATCGGTTTATTCACTCTGAGCTGCTTCATAAACGTTTGCCATATAAGAACGAGAAAAGGAAATCTTGAGATCAGACCAACAAGGTAGATCACAGATACCCATGTTTCAGTTTCCAAAGAATTTATAATTAGGGCACTATTAACGGACACACCAGCCAGAGTAACGTACAGTTTTCTGTGGGTAAAGATGATGCATCTTGAAACCTCTCTTTAGATGTCAGTCAGGCGCTCTGATACGAAGAAAACATTGGGGAAGAGTGTGTTCTGTAACTTTATAAATTTGTTATGGGGAGCTCATCAAGTTTAAGCCTTGTTTATGTGTCTAATACTACTAATAATAGAATGTTGAATTGCAAGTAAAATATACACATAAGGCAATTCCTACCCTCTTTTCGACTTCTGTTTTGCTTTTTTCATAACCTGTTGTTATACTGTATTATTATATGACTCTGCTACTTGTAATTGAAACGGATAGGATTACTTGTAAATGAGACGATGGGGAGTGCTCCATATAAGTGATAAAGAGAAAAAAAAGAATAAGGATAAGAAGAAGAAAAAGAAGAAAAAGAAGAAGCAGAAGAAGAAAAAAGAAGAAGAAGAAGAAGAAGAAGAAGAAGAAGAAGAAGAAGAAGAAGAAGAAGAAGAAGAAGAAGAAGAAGAAGAAGAAGAAGAAGAAGAAGAAGAAGAAGAAGAAGAAGAAGAAGAAGAAGAAGAAGAAGAAGAAGAAGAAGAAGAAGCAACAACAGCTTCAGCAGCAAGAGAAGGAACCGGACAAGGGCATTCCCAAATGGTCACCGTCGCTGTCTTCAGCAGCAAGTGCGGAGTTCTAAATCCAGCGGTATCTGTAACAGTCTGATTGAATGTCCGTCTCGCCCCTAGTTCTCAAGCCAGTAAAATGCTGCTATGAATGCAGCCACATCCATTGTCAAACTGGATAGTGTAGTGTCAGGAGAATATGGGCCAGTGAATAAGTGCAGGCGCGAATAGATATAAGCTGTGTGGGATTACTTTGTAGCGGAGAGTAGCTATGCAATGTGGCTGACGCAACACTCAGAGGAAGAGCAGAACAGGCCTATCAAACTGCTACTTGGGAAGTGAGCATTGTAACTCTTTGATTGCTGCTGAAGATGTTGACGTAGCGGTTTTGTGGTTTTTCCCAAAAGCTCCTTTTCATTTGTTAAGAAGAAAATATTAGTTATTCTATATAAACATGTATAATATTTAAAAAAATTCCTGATACAATTTGATATATCTCTAGGTCATACTTGGAGGTGGCCGACGCTACTTCCTGGACAACTCGACCCAAGATCCAGTTCTGGGGACCGTCGACCCACACCAGAGACGTGATGGACTGAACCTCGTTGACGTAAGACACTTTAAAATAAGATTTTTTTTTTTTTTTTTTACGTTTTCGCGCCCAAACCGTTCAGTTTGCGTGTCTGGATCAGTTCAAAGATAATATAATTTGCTCGCAGTCTTCTCTTACAGAATCATGTTAAATAATTTTTTGTATATATCTAAAACGGGAGCCTCGTGGCGATGTCAAGACGTTGCCTCGAGCTCTGAAGGTGTGGGTTCGCTCCCCGGCTGACCTCTTAGTTCACGATGGTAATTTTTACCTAGATCCCTGGGGAATGTCGCTGGAGCTACAGAGTTCTTGCTGTGCGCAGCTCTTTCGGCAGGCGGCTAACCGTTCTACAGAGAGAGAAGGGGCCATATTGGATAAAACCTGGTGCAATGAAGTCGTTCCTCTCGACTTTAGCCTTTAGCCTTTTTTTTCTAGGAAAACGTTTCCAAAGTGGGCGCCACCATCATGGGAGCGCTGTGGTGGGGGTAACGCTGTAGCGGCCTTGGTCAAATTGGCTGAGGGGGTGCAATAAGGATCCATGGGACAGTAGCAGCTACACATAAACCAGGGAGGTAGCCACGCAGAGCAGGATCACTCATGGTTTCAATAGCTGACATTACTAAATGTTGTCACTAGCAAGCACCAGCAGACTGCATAAACGAGAGCTATATAGAACCAATGCTCGTAGTGACTTTGCTGTTTAGACGGGAACTGAAACAACACAACAGCCTCCCATCCGTTTCTAAAGTGAGCAGAGAACAAGTAACACAATAATACAGAAGACGACGATGAAGAAGACGGCGACGGAAGAAAAAAGGGAACAATGACTAAATAAATGAATATCATGAATTATCATCCATGATGACTTTTCTATTTTTACGTTCAGGAGTGGAAGAAAGACAAAATCAGGAGGAACGCCACTCACAGTTACGTTTGGCAAAGATCTGACTTTGACGCCGTTGACAGCAATAGCACTGAATTCCTGCTAGGTAAGATACTATTTGTTTGTTTGTTTGTTGCTCTCTTTCTTTGTTTTTTTTAAATACCTTTTTCCCCACATAAAATATCCTTCCTTTAAGAAGAAAAACAATTTAATGATCCTTTTCCGACATCATGAATGATTGCTAGGATTTTGAAACTGTTATTATAAAAGTAGTATTTCATACACATACATCTGCTCGTGTAGCAACCTAGAATGCTCAGAAAAAGGTTACAGTTTTGGATTTACTTTAGTATACTTCTATTTGAGCGCCATTTGTATCTATGCGATGTCTGCTAAACAGTTTTCAGTCTCCTGTCACGTCTATTGAATCCTGTCCAGAGTTACAGTTACTGTAGCTACAGCGACCCTTTTTTTTTTTTTAAGGTAAGGGATATTCGTTTTGTTCTCTGCTACGTTTTAAGCCTCACGACGTCACAAATGTAAATCCATTTGAAACTTCTTTTATAATCATAATCATTCAAATAGTCCTTCAAAAAGGCCCCTATCCATACAGAGCTACAGAAAGTCTCTCTTTTACAGAAGGTCCCTCTCCATACAGGGCTACTGAAAGTCTCTCTTTTACAGAAGGTCCCTCTCCATACAGGGCTACTGAAAGTCGCTCTTTTACAGAAGGTCCCTCTCCATACAGGGCTACTGAAAGTCGCTCTTTTACAGAAGGTCCCTCTCCATACAGGGCTACTGAAAGTCTCTCTTTTACAGAAGGTCCCTCTCCATACAGGGCTACTGAAAGTCGCTCTTTTACAGAAGGTCCCTCTCCATACAGGGCTACTGAAAGTCGCTCTTTTACAGAAGGTCCCTCTCCATACAGGGCTACTGAAAGTCTCTCTTTTACAGAAATTCCCTCTCCATACAGAGCGACTGAAAGTCTCTCTTTCTCTAGCCAATTCTCCAGATCTATGTGCTTTCGTAGCCAATGTATCTCAGATGTCTTGTGTCCACATTCGTGGAGGTCTGCCTTTGCCTCTTTTTTGTTTGTTTCAGAAACTGTACCTTCCTGTATCGTTCTCTCCGGGCCACCACGGGGTTTAACACGGCTAAAGTATCTCAGCTTTTTTCGCACACAAGATGCTATAGATGAGCTAATTCTATCTTTTATAATCATCAGTCATCAGTTCTCGTTAGGCCTAGTGGCACATGAGGCTTCAGATAGGACTTTCCATGCTTTCCTGTCCTGTGCAATCTTCAGTGCAGTTTTCCATGTCAAAGATGCCGCACTCAGGTCACTTTCCATCGTTCGTCTCCATGTTGTTTTTGGGGGCCCCTGTTTTCTCTTTCCCTCTGGTGTCCATGTGAGAGCTGTTTTGGCAGGTATATCAGAAGTCATTCTCATAACGTGGCCAAGCCATTTCCATCTTCTCTTGGTAATCATACTGTCTAAGTTTCTTGGTTGTGGCTTGAAGTAGTTTAGTGTTGAGATTGTATCTGCCAGAAAATTTTGATAATTCTACGTAGACATGTGTGGTGGAAGGTGGACAGCTTGTGTGCATCCTTTTTGGCCAATCTCCAGCATTCCGCTCCATAAAGAAGAACTGGCAAAATGATGCTCTTGTAGAGTCGGAGTTTCGTTCCTCTGCAGTAATTGTTGGATTTCCAGATTTGCCTCATCCTTCAAAAAGCAGCTCTATTATATTATATTATATTATTATCTTTTATAATAACGGCTTAAAATCACGGTAATCATCCTCGATGACTCACTGTATTTATATAGCCGATTCACCTTTCGTGGGTGATTTTGTCAGTATTGCGAGCATCTGTCTGGCAGTCGAGTGTCGGGGCATTATATTGTGAGAGCTCCCTTTGTCGTCATGACATGTAGAGCGAGCTGTTGAAATGACTGGTGATGTCGACGATTGTGGCTTTGGCGTTGCGAGCGATTTTGATTCCGGCTGCGGGCGAATTGAAAGCAGTTTGCTTAAACAGTTTTATCAACAGCCAACCAGCGCATTGGAAAGAATAATAGAAAAAGTCAAGGTACCAGGAGAAGAGGGACAGACCCCGACCAGCATGACCATGGGCACATGATATATTTGACAATATATTTGACACCTTTTGTAGGAAGTCAGCGTCTGTGGCTAAGGCGTTGTGAACGAGCTTCGTAATGCCAGGGTGCCGAGTTCGATCCCAGCTGCTAGCCTTGCGTCTTGCGTTGGTTTCAACAGTGGTATTGAGAAGCCGACCGTCCAGCAGCAATCGCAAACTGCTGGACGTAATTTTGCCAAGAAAAACCACCACAGCCGCCCCCCCCCCCCCCCCCCCCTCCAATGTTGGTGTTGGTTCAGCAACGTCCTGTAAATGATACTCAACTAACTTAGTAGGAAAGTGCACAAGGCGGGAGAGACAGTTTCTTTCAAGCGGCCCGTAATCAGAGCATATGTTTTACAAAGGACCATATACGTAATGATTGGGGGACATTGCTCAATGGTTTTAATAATAGTTGTTTTACTCACAAAGTTATGATTGACTGAATAAATTCATTCTCATTTTGAGAGACTATATCAAACTCCAATCTTACCAACACGTTCTTCTCCACTTCCTCTTTTATTTTTCTGGGGATCAAGGGAGATAACTGCCAATTACTGCCTTTATAAATGACTTCTGCGGTGTAGACGAAATAGGAGGGGAAGAAGGGGGGGGGGGGCGGGAGGGAAGGCTTTTGATCCTGAGGATTCAGACCGCATGCCTAGTGCTGTCGCCACGACTGTTTCCAAAGCCCAAACAGTTCTTCATACAGCTCATTATTTATTGTATTTTGCTAGTAAACGCCACACGAAATGCTCGCCTATGTCCAATGAGAAAAATCATCAGCGTGCTGTCCCTGTAAAATCGAACATTTTGGCAGCCAACAGAGGTGCCAACACTAACGATCTCTCAAATGAATTACACATAAGCATACTGATATTCTTTAGGATGTGAATAAACGAACCGTTGTAGACCTTCTGTTTCCGGGGAAGGCGGGGGGGGGGGGGGGGGGGGGGGGGGGGGGGGGGGGTACTGTAATAAGCATTTGTAATGAGCATTCCTAAGCATTTTTAAATAGTGTATAGTAGTGGTGCAGTAGATTGGAGCCACTTGGAGGGCTGCTGTCTGCACATTAACTAATACAAGATGTTGAAGGTCGCAGGTTATAGAGAAGCATGATGACCAGTCGACAAGTCACTTGATGGTGGTGATGACTGAAAGTTGTGTAGTTAAATTAGTTCCAGACACCGTTTTCATTGATGCATAATTTAGTTAACAAGAGTTAATTTAACAAAACTAAAACCTGAGAAATAACAAACTCGACAAACAAAACTATTGTGACTCCCTTCTTTTTTCTCTAGTCCACTTCTTCCTTTCGGTGTAATGTTCGAGGTTTTGAGGTTTTGAACAACGGATCAACATTATCGCACACGGGTGGTAACCATAAGTGCTCCGTTCTTCTTCTAACTCAAGTCTGAGTCCGATGAAACTCAGCACATTGTACAGGCTCAGTAGCACTGGCGATGATCCTGAAATACTTAAGGTATATTTATTATCTCCAAATTTCGCCCGGGCAGTGCCGTTAGGCTAGTCTTTTTAATTTCCAACTGCCAAGGAAATTTTTACGTGCGCAGAAATGCATGATCTCACTACCCAGAGAACAGGGAGAATTACTAGAAATCCAAGTCCACGTAAACAAAATATCAACCCTCACCAGGAATTGAACACTTACTCCCAGCACCCGAGGGGGACACCATGTCTAGAGGCCACACAGCTCCCTTAGTGTGATGTTTAGAAGGGGCATCGGTTGAGAGCCTTGTTGTGTGCTATGTAGGTACTGGCATTTACGGCCCTCGAATAATCCATGTAAAATGCATGGTATACTTGTAGCTCTGCTACTACTATATAAATGTCACAGGACTGTCTATTGTGCAATATCTTGTGGTAAGTCATGGCCAAACCATTTGATCTGTTGTCTCATGATGCTCCTGAGTTCTGGTTCCGTCTCAAATTCCTTCCTGATATCGATATTTCCGATCGTGTGTCTTCTAGTTACATTTAGGATTGGTCGTACACATTTGGGAGTCGCCGAGGTGTAGCGGCTAGACGCTCGCGTGCGGACCGGAAAGTTGTGGGACCTTGACTCATAGGTCGACCCAGCCTTTAGTGGGTACATGGCGCAGTCACAGAAAGCAAAGGCGGCCGGCTTGATGCTGATCACATCAGCCATCTTGTGCCAATTGGTTTAATAAAAATAAAGGTCTAGCCCAATATGCCCTATATGCCTAGAGGCGTGGAAAAGGGAACTTTACTTTACCTTTTTACGTACTCATTTAATTTCTGTTATTTCGATATTTTCCCCGTTTGTAGCAAATGTCCACGTCCTACACTCGTAGAACAATGCTGGTAAAAATACTGGACTCTCGACTCGCTTGATTAAATATGTGTCTCGTCTCTGTTTCCAATGACTGACTGACTTTCTACCCCACCAGGACATCACAGAAGCGATAAACACCCGAAGACACGATGTGCCACCACGTGGGTGAAGATCACCGTGGAGCGGTCCCGGAAACCGCCTTCAGGCATTAGGCCAAATTTATGGCCAGACTATATTGCGGCCCCTGGCAAGAGCCACAGTAGGGTTTCAAATAACGAAAAATTTCATCCTATAAAGGACAGGAAGTTAAGTTTCCAATTTTCTGTTGGATGATTTAATGCTCAATAGACATTTGAACTGTTACGGCTACATAAATTGTTGGTTTGCTATCATGATCAGTTTTGCAGTTCTTGCAATGATTATAAGCTCTTCACCAAACCCCCCCCCCCCTCCCCCCGGTCATCCCCTCCGGCCTCCCCTGAATGCCTCTGTTTACATACAATGTTTGTATTATTCACAGCGTTTGCTACATTATTTTAAAATAGTCTGTTTTTAGGTCAGAAATATTCTGCTAGTTGACTTTGCCCATTGTTCTTTAACACCGTTTTGACTGTTATCTATCGACAAAATGAGGGTGGGGGGAGGGGTGA